GGGGGGGGGGGGGGGGGGGGGTTATGAATCGATTTGGCTGATTGAATTTGGTGTAACAGATGCAAGAGATTCAACAATTTAGGGCGTCATTCGCTTGTTTTAGCCAAGGCTTCCCAGAAAACTTTGGCAATCGGAGCTAAAAACTGGTCGGAATCCGCTCACCGGTTTCTTAAACACTGCGTTGACGCCGGCAACGTTGAGGCTTGCTATATTCTCGGCATGGTAACCACAAACACCTTGAAAATTTTAACGATTTTTTGATTTTGGGTCTGAATTTCTGTTTTTTTTTTTTCTTTCTCAGATTCGGTTTTATTGTCTGCAAAACCGAGGGAGTGGAGCTTCTTTAATGGCGAAGGCGGCGATTAGCTCCCACGCGCCGGCGTTGTATTCACTTGCTGTCATACAGTTCAACGGTAGCGGTGGCTCGAAGAACGATAAGGATTTGAGAGCCGGAGTAGCGCTTTGTGCCAGGGCTGCGTTTTTGGGCCATATTGATGCTTTAAGGGAGCTTGGACATTGCCTTCAAGATGGCTATGGTGTTTGTCAGAACATTATGGAGGGCCGTCGGTTTCTCGTCCAAGCCAACGCACGGGAACTCGCCGCCGTGCTGTCGTCAACGGCGGCCACTGCTACCGGCGGAGCTGCGCGTTCTTGGGTCACGTGCGATCCACACACACACCACCGCGCGGCGGTGGGGTCGTCCACCGAGTGTCCGTTGCTAAGTGATTTCGGCTGTAATGTCCCGGCGGCGGAGGCCCATCCGGCGAGCCGGTTTATGGCGGAGTGGTTCGCTATACGCGGAGGGCCACCGGGGCCGGGGCTGAGGCTCTGTTCACACGTGGGGTGTGGGCGGCCGGAGACAAGGAGGCACGAGTTTCGTCGGTGTTCGGTTTGTGGGATTGTTAACTACTGCTCACGTGCCTGTCAGGCGCTTGATTGGAAGCTGCAGCATAAGGCGGAATGTTCGCCTTTGGAGCTATGGCCGGAAAATGAGGGCGAAGGTGGTGTAGGCGACGGCGACGGCGGAGTTCAAAATGAAAACGAAGCGGAGGATGTGATAGAAGAGAGTTAAATTAAACGGAGGTGAAGAGTGAATGTGAATGATTTTTACGGTTTTACGAATTTAAACGGCGAGTAACGGGTGTTGTAACGGAAGAGGAAAAAGGAGGTACCTAACAAAACAAAAGGCTTAAATCCCACCTCCCCCACTTTTTCCTTTTTCTTTTACTTTTGTCAATATAATTTTTGTAGAGTACAGTGCATCCATTGTCACCTTCGATCTTAGGTATTTAAAGTTTTTAATTTTTTAGATTTTCAGAATCTTCAAAATTTCCTAATTGTATTATACCTTTTTCACAATTATTCCTTTTTCTTTTTCTTTTTCTTCCCAAAGGTTTGGTTTCCTTTTGTTTAATTTTGTTTATAAATCATTTATAATCTTTGCCCATCTAATTAAAGGAATAATTCACCCATTTAGATGGATTAATCTCTCAAAAACTCAAAAAAAAGAAAAAAAAGGGGTTTGCACTAATTATTTAATTGCATAGAGTAGGAATGAATGAAATTAAGAAAATGCTTCCACGAAAATCAAACAAAAACTTGAAACCATACGAAGGAAATACACAAATGGAAAAATACAAATAATATGAGGAATGCAGTAAAATCAATACATATAACAGATAGATTAATTTATTTTGTCATTTAAATTAAAAAAAGTATTTCCAAATTTAAAAAATTAGGTTTGGGTTGGAGTAGAGTTGTAAGTGTCAATAAATGGTAAAGAAAATGATATATTGAAACCAAAGGGGAAGAGAAGAGAATAGAGAGAGAGAGAGAGAGAAAAAAAGAAGCAATTATTCTAACATTCTTTTTGAAGCTTTTGAGATGATGGGTGGTTTGCTCTTTTGAAGGGTCAAATGCATTTAAGTGAATTCAAATAAAATAAAATAAAAATAAAAAAGTAAAAAGTAAAAAGTAAAAAGAGAATGAGGGGGGGAAAAGAGAGAGAGAAAGGAAAGTAGTGGGAAGACACACACACAAAAACACTAGGAAGTGGAGGACCTAATCTTTTTGCTTTTTTTCCTCCTCAAAATCAATTATAATAAAGAAAAAAATATACATATTTAATTAACAATTAGATACATAGACATGGGTGTGCACTTATTCTGTCTTTTTCATCATCAATTATTCCCCTCCCACTTTTTTATTTCCTGGATATATTTATATATAAATGCACTATTTGCCAATTGGTAGCTTTATTGCTGGGATTTAATGCAACGGCAAGGACCCTGGCTACCTATCTATAATATTTAGACAAATTTAATACCATTCAATTTTTATCATTCAAAAAAATGGCTATTCAATTATTTTTATTAAACCCTAAAAAAATTCTTCCTATTTCTTTATTTTTAAAATTCCACGCCGAATAAAATCCCAGTATGAAAAGAAATTTTCATTTCAAGTGAGGCCGGGAAGTGGGAATCTTCACGTCTTCTGACTTGTCTCCAATCACAAATTATTAAACCATAAATATTTTACTTTCTAGTATTATATTGACTTACAAATTTTATGAAATTAGTCAACAATTTTTTAAATATTTTCCTTCTAAACTTAAAGTTCTGTAAAAAAAAAAACTCTAAATTGAATAAAAACTAAGCTTTAATGTCATTTTTCTTTCAATTTGTACCATACTTAAGTTTATAATTCATTGGATGCCTATAGGAATATATTTCTTCTTTTTAACAATCTTTCAGACAAAAAAAAATTATGAGAGAATAAAGATTGAAACACTTTTTAAAAATGAAAGTTATCTAAGTTTAAAGTAAGGGTGGATGAAATAAAAAAGATGCTCGAGAAAACATAAGGAACCTAAGAAAGGATAATTAATTAATTAATTAATTAAAAATAGAAAGATTAAAGGTATAAAAAAAAGAGTTGGAATGTAAAGTTGTACCTGCATAAAGAGTTGTGGCGGCCGCTCCTCGGAAAAGGAAGATAGAGAAAGAGGGAGTGTTGTGGAGGATTATAATCGACGCTAACATTAAAAAATTAGTAAAGACGAAATAAAAAGGTAAAAAAATTTGTAGGTGAAAGCGTGGGGGTGGTGCAAAATAAGAATGTAGGCCTAAGAGAGCAATTAAGTAATTTACTTGTTCTTAGTTAAAACACTTACGGGTAGGCGATCCGATCCGATCCGATCCAATGGCTTGTGTCTGATGTCAGCGTTGAATCCGATCCAATGAAACGGAGGATGCCACAAGTGGTTTCTGTCTATCTGAGAAAACAAAGTCATACTTGGTTACCGCAAGCATTGGTTGGTTGGACCATTTCTGGTGGAATCAGAGTTTTTAAGTATTCAAAAGTTTGTCGTCACTAACCCATCTTCTTCTTGTTCTTGTTGGAGTTTCCATGTGGGTGGGCATATATATATAAATATATAAATGTGTATATATATATATATATATATATATGAGAGTTAAAAAGAAGAAAAACACGAAATGCATACGTAAGGCTCGGGCATGCGGCTACGATTTGAGAGAGGTTCTGAATCGTTACCATGGCTTCTTTATTTTTTTTTTTAAATTTCTTTTCAGATAAAACTTAGTGGATCACGCGTTCACCTAATTGTCCAAATAGAAACAATGATTTGTTCATTATTTAAGAACGCAAGGGAAGTATTGAGATCCTTTTAAATAAAGCCAACACTCGGAATTATAGAGGATGGTGCATACCAAGTCTTCGGCATCCTTTGGCTTCAACAAAACCATCTCCCTTTTGACGTTTTGAAGAGTATGATATGAACCTGAAATAAAAAAAAGTCAAAGAGTCAAAATTAAAAGTGGATATATCAAGCGTTTTGAAATTCTATTGATTCAGCTCAGAAATAAGCAAAAGAAAAAGATACCAATATCATTTCCAAGTAAATGAACGATTATTGAGCAGAACATCAGTACGGTTGGTCATGTTGGTAACTATTGATCCTCTCCAACCTAAGCCTACTACTAGTAAATATTGTTCGTTTTGACCAGTTATGTATTGCCTTCGGTCTCATAGTTTTAAAACCCGTATGTTAAAGAGAGGTTTCCATACCCTTATAAAAAATGTTTCGTTCCCCTCTCCAACCGATATGGAATCTCACAATCACTTTCCTTCTCACACGGATCAAGCGCACTCTTTACCTGTGCATAAAAGTGGTTTTATCTCCATAAATTTCAATCCCTTACTCTCAAGAGCTAATAAAAAAGGCTTGCTGTTGACGTTTCCAACCTCCATCCTTGATGGATTTTAGTCCAGGGATGGTGTGCCGTTCCTGTGCAACTCCTGAAGAGTGGAGGGCTGCAATAAGATAATTGTAATTAGAGATCTCTTCGACGACAAATTTGTTCTAGAGGAGAAAATATCCTTTTCTACCGTCATAAGAAAGTGAACGCCTGAGCTTTGTATGCAAGTAGCACCACAAATTAATAATTGGTTAGCCGGTGTAGCGTAGATAAAAACTATAAGCAAGAAAAATGCATCACAATAGCATGTGAAGTACAAATGCTCCCAACGATTGAAACAAACATTGAATAATTGTGAAAAAGAGTATGTCAAGAAACATATGGTAATATCATAGTAGAGGAGCTTCATCAATATGGTGCGCTGAGACAAAGAATCAGTCATGTGGATACCAAACAAACTGTATCTTGTAGTACTTGGTGAAAATTCACATTTTAGAAACTTCAACGTTCTCATTGTAATTGTGAATTCGCTTTGGCCATTACTTCTCTGGGCATATTATCCAATGTTCTCATTAGTTGAACCAGTGTATGAACCATCTTACAAACAGAACTCCTGAAGTTCTAACTCATTGTCATATATCCAGCTGCTAGTATTAAGAATAAAGGTAAGGAAGGGTTAGGAATCACGGATCTCCAAAATGGTATGACATTGTCCACTTTGAGAATATAAGTTCTCATGGTTTTTTTTGTTTTCTCCAAAAGGCCTCATGCCAATAGAGATATGTTTCTTACTATAAATCTACGATCTTCCTCTTAATTAGCTGACGTAGGACTACTCCTCCCAATAATCTTCTATTGAGAAATTTGGTTCTCCATTAGCTAGATCTCATCTTTCAATCTTTCAATGTTAAGGAAAAAAGAGCGCCGGGTTGCTAGTTAAGTTGAATACTACGGAACACATTTCGTATGCAGAAAGTAAAACGTTGAAAAAGATTTGAGCATTTTTCTTCATCGTGTGATTTTCGATCCCCTCAGCACGCTAATTCCAGCCTGCATTGTGTCATGGTCATGCTTTGAAGCATGTTGCAGGTCTACATGACTAAAATACTGAACTACTGAAGTCTAGCAGGAGATGAAAATTAGGAAACTAAGTGGATCAGTTTAACGAGTAGAGAGCGAGCTACATTCAACAACAAGGCAAACAAACAGATTCAAGTTCAGCTATCTATCGCCACAATTATCCGCAATAGAAATTCCAAATCCATCTCCAAGACACGAGAATTGATTAATAAAATAATAATAAGTTTCAAAGGAACTAACCAGGAGAAGAGAGTCCTGCTCCGTGATCTCTGCTTCCATAAATTTCTGTACAGCAACCTGATGAAAATATCGGTTTCAGAAAGAGGCAATTAGAAGTAAATTTGAAACGCAGAGAGAGAGTGTAATGATCAAGAAAGAAAAATATGATTCTCCGAGAGCTTGTACAACTCACCATGTGTTTCAGAAAATGGAGAAATGGAAGAGGAGAGATGCCTTTCGAGAGATCAGTTTCAAAATATTGAAATGGCAAGAGACGAGTAAGAAATGTGGCGGGAGATGAAGATGAAGATAGATGGGTACACTATTGTTTTATATACGGCTTAGAAATCTTAACCATGGTTACGAAATTAACCAGCATGGTTTATTATGCTTACGGACGCTAAATGCAAGTCTTCAGTTTTTACTTGTTTACTAAAACGACCTTTAGTAGTCAGTGGGTTCTTTTTCTTTTTTTAAATTTTTTAGATTTTAGTTTATGTGATTTATTGAGATAATAAAAATTTCTTAAAAATAGGGAATAAAATAGATGGTAAGGACAGGCCTCATTGGTACTCTTCTCCAGTGATATATGTGAAAACGAAACATCCCTTATAAATGTATAAACTTCTCCTTAATAAACGTGTTAAAACTGTGAGGTTGACGACTATACGTAATGGGCTAAAAAGATAAAATTTACTGACAGTGGGATTTAAACTGTTACAAATAGTATCAGAGCTAAATACCCAAAAACCCCGAATTGTGAGAGATGGGAGAGAAAAACTAGAAACCTCTTCCTAATAGACATTTTAAAATTATGAGATTAGCCAACCATACGTAACGGATCAAAGAACGAAGAGAAAATGGTAATTCAAAACATTCTTCCATTCAACCTAAGAACTCATGAAATTAAATAATAATAACAATAATAATAATAATAATAATTTTTTTTTGTTCTTTAATCCAATTTTCCTCCCTTGTTGATTGGGAAATAAAAATTAAAAAAAAAAAAAAGGAAAAATAGTAAGATAGTAAAAGAGTTAAATAGGGAGAATATGGTTAGTTCTTATTCCAACAATCTTCACAAAATCTTAATACATATTAGCGGCTTGCCTTTCAAAGGAATTCAGCGAGGGATAAACGGCAGCTGCTATTTTCTGGCGAAGGTTGAACTTTTGAGCTATAAGTGGTCTCACATCTTCAACTCCCATCAGTGTTTCCAAAAATGGAAGTAGTACAAGCAATTCTCTGTCTGAACGATCATCAAACCAGCTCTCTATTGGGATTCCATTGTCCACTTGGAACCCAAATGCCTGAAATAAAACATGGAACCTATATATAGAACATTTCGAGCTTCATAACGAATAAAATATCAGGCGTTCTAACTTAGAAATGGTAACACGGTCGGGGTTACCTGAGGAGAATTATCGACGATGATAACGCGTGCCAAATCACGCCCGAGAACTGAGAGATCTTTGATGTAATTCCCATCAACAAAAACACACGACTCGCGAAAAACACGATGACGAAATATTTTCCTCTTTGGATCAAGAACATTCAGAAGCTGTTCTGCATAAATACTCTGGCTAGCTGTAAATATGATGATCTCGAAGTGTTGGGCAACTGCTTCCATGAAGTCTCTGAGATAAGGTCGGCATCGTACATAAACCGTATGCTCCTGGAGGTTGAAATTTACAGGGAAGGTAAAATCGGCATCAACACATGGCTCGAGTGTAGAGTGCACCAGAGTTTCTGCAAAATGAAGGTACACGGTGGGTTGTTTTAAAAGGTTCAATTTAAGAACATGAACGTTTACAGGTTGCATTGATTAATGAACAAGGCCCCTATATTCAACTACCCCCACTTATAATAACATCGTATAAATGGCAAATGCTAACTACGTTTGGAATGACTTTTTAACTGCTCAAGTCCATAAAAAGTGTTTCTAAGCGATTCAAAAGTCATTTCAAATCGACCCATAATCTCTCGACTAGTTAGAAAGAAAAGAGTGGGCTATTTAATAAAAACCTTCACAATGACCAGTGTATATTCATCATATGAAACAGGCACGATATTGGGGTTAAAACTTGTTACCGTCCAAGTCCAAAACAAGAGTCGTAGAAGGGCAACTCCGAGTCTGTTTTGGTAGTAGCATAGGTCGATAAGTTGGGACGACTGCTGATAAATCAGGCAGATTCTTGATGAAGAAATAAGGATCAAAATAGTCGATTTCCTCGTATTCATCATCCTGCACATGAACTTCAGTTGCCATAGTATCATGGGCATGCTCATCGACACACTCAAACTTAGAGTTCTTCATGGCAAGATATATAGCGGATACTTCAGATGATAGACCTGCATCCCCTAGATCTGCATTATGAGAACTAAATTTCTTGAACCTAACAGTTCAACACAACTAAATTTCATAATATCAGAGAATCTCCAGTTAGTCAAAGCAAATGTGGCCTTAGAGTAATTCTTATCCTAATCACATAAATTAAAACCTAAATCAAACCTAAATTACAATCCAAGCGTGTCACGGAATAATTTTCACTCCAAAGAAAAATATTACCCTCCATGAATTAATTTAATCATCTACCTCCATTATGAGCTTCTCCTCCAGCGTGAGCAGATGCATGAAAAGCAGGAGAAAATATGGTTTCGGACGCAGACTTATCAATGTCATCATCATAAGCCTGCCAAACGGATTACAGATAAGAAATAACCCTCATGGAAAGCTACACATGATGTAGGTCCGTTTGTCTAGGCAGTAGTCATGAACAATTTACCTTGAAGCCCAAGGTAGCACCATCAGTTGCATCGTGGTCCAAACAAGCACCAGAACTCTCATTGCGTAGAAAATCATATTTAATGTTCAAATCGGTCAAAACATCTTCTTCATTATTTTTTGATGGCAAACCACCTGAAAATGAGACGAACAATTCAACAAAATCTAACACGATTGAACTTAGATGCTTTAAACGTATATGGGTTTCCACCAACCCATGAAAAGAAAAACTCCAGTAAGAGAATTACCAACAGTACGTTTTCTAGCAGAGGATATTAATCGTTCAGTAATATTCTTTTCTACAACTTGTATGGTTTCATTGTATTTTCTTTGAGATCGTAGAACCTTGGGACTGACAACCTCTCGAGCAGCATTTCTCCCATGACCTTTTTTCTTTGTCTGCATTTTCCAAATTGCTGGGAAGAAGTTCCAATCTCAAGCTCACTATAATTAACAGAGATATTTAAACGAAACTGATTTAGAAACAACTTTCACTATGATTAACAGTACTAGAGCTCAAAATTACCAACGTACAATGAAATTAGCCGCAGATCAAAGCTAAAATTCTCTAGAAACACCCAGTCAAAGAATTTTAAATTCAGAAATTAACCACCAACGCAATATTTCAGAGTAATTGAGAGCACGTCCAACATAAAGAGCCAAATCTAAAAATTTTAAATTCAGAAATGTTTTAGGGTTTACGACAAGAACGTTAAAATATACCAAACTTCCGAATCATCAGCAGTAGATTATCGATTAATATATCCACAACATTCGAATTGAACAAACAAACATTAAAAAACACGGTGATTACAACAGAGTAAAATCCACAATCCATTGTCTGAAATAACAGAAATCACGCAGCAAGCTAGAGATCGGCAGAGTCAAGAAATGATACCAAAATTCCGGAGTAAGAAAGCTAAAGAAAGCAAACAGAAGCAATATAAACAAGGCACAAAGCCAGAAAATCAAAGTTAAACAGTACCTGAGGCAAAAACTTAACCAGAAGAAGATCACAGAAAGCGGAGGGAAGCAGGTTCTTTACTTGGACTGATATCAGACCGGAAAAAGAGCAGAATATGAGTTCAAAAAAGATATTGAACGAGAGATCGAGCTGAAGCTTGAGCAATCAGAAGAAACCCTAGTCTGGTTTTTGCAGAGACGAAAACAGAGGATTGGATTTTAGAAGTTCGGAGGTTTTTCCCTCGCAATGAAAGCGAAAAGAGAGAGGGAAAGCAGAGGGATCGAAAATTAAGTTTCGTTGGGACAAAAGGATGAGAAGATAAATAAGTATTTTTGTTTTTTATTTTATATATTTTTTTTAATGAAATGTAGCTCGTCCTTTTCCTACTCGCGATAAACGTCAAAATTACCGTACTCGCGCTGTTTTAGAGCCACGTTAATTGGATCCACAACTTACGTTTATTTAATTTTCGCTCTCAGAATTTGACTTTTGTTTCTGTTTGATAGGGATCTCTATTTCCTCAATATTTAGGACAGGCAACAATTTTATCTGTTTATAAAATTAATTTATGAGGATTTTCGGTGTGGAGGTATTCGGTAATAAGGAGAAAATATTGTGGAGGAATTTGGGAATATCGAAAACTATTGGGCTAATGATGAAATTTTGGTACACCTGTTGCCTCGTTGGAGGAATCTTTTTTGAAATTTCAAAAAATTGAGCGCCGCACGGAAACATGAAGCTGCTCTACGATAGCTCCTCGACCGTTGGTTTGTTACTTTCAAATTTAATCTGCTTGACGTGGTGACTCGGATGTTTGCCACGTGTAGGGACTAATATGGCCAATTATTGGTAGGCTAGTAATTTTGCCAGACCAAGTGTAAATCAACTTTTTATTAATTTAAAATTCAAATATAAAAGTTTTAAAATAATATTCAAATGTCTTATTAATATTTTTCAAATACATTATAGTTAATTTTAAATTTTGTAATAATATCCTTAAACCAACCAAATCCCATTTCTTAATCCTAATTTATTTTTAGATTCGATCCTCCATGAATAAATTAAACGATTTTTTTCAGGCATTTGCCCTCGATTCAATCGCAAAATCGAATCGAGCCTTTCATTTTCTGAGTCATAGCTAAAAGAACACTCTTCTTCCTTAAGTTCATGATCATATACAATTCCGTACACTACAAGGGTTGGTTTCAGCATCTGGTTTCAACATCAACTTTTGCCAAAACCAACAAGAACTAACCGAACCGACAATGGGGAAACTTTCTCCCGGTTGGCATTGTACATATAGTCAGGCAAACATTAAAAACTCGAACCAAACCGACATAGAAATACATAATTCAACCAACTACGAGGGCAGATATTTTCTTTACTTTATCAAAAACCGCCACCGAATATTTGAGTTTCAGGCTAATTATCAACTAAGCAAACATTGATATCAAAGCTATGCTAGAACAGTAGAAATGAGAAGCACTCATAAGCTAAATACCAGAGTGAGGTAGGCATTCTGCATCAGAATGTCAAGATTCTTCTTTACCGTATCTTGGTGAGCACTTCCATGGGAGGAATTTCAGCAAAGAGACATTCCACATTTCAATAGAATAAATTTGCAGTCCCGGAGTCGAAAAGTCTCACCTCGGAGGCGGCGGTGGAACGTGGGATTTCGTCATTCCAACCCAAGCAACGAGTCCAACAGCAAGGATGATCCATCCACATATGTCATATTTGAGATCACTGCTCTTTGTCTTGGAACTCTGCTGTTTGTAAATTGTACAACAAAGAAAATAACAAATAACCCCTGTTGTTAGCTAGCAGATCAAATGCTCTCTACCAAAAGATTAGAGAAAAAAATCCAAGCTAAATAACCTTAGGGTTTGAAGCAGCAGTAGCAGAAGCAGAAGATCCCCCACCTGAAGGCCCTGCAGTCTGCTGACCGATTCCATGCTTGTGAATCTCCGAATGAAATTCGGGTGCCTGAGACAACATAACGATCAGAAATCAAGTAATGCCCATACTTCCAAATAGAGATTCGTTTTCTTTCAATACTTATTAAAATTTCTCGAAACATGAACCCATATCTATCAACCAGAGTACCCAGAATATAGCAACAGTAGCAATGGACCAATTCTAGCCTCTTTTTTCATAAAGACGGTGAGATCCCACGTCGGTTGAAGAAGGGAGATAAGCATTTCTTATAAGAGTGTGAAAAGCTCTCCCTAGCAAACGCGTTTTAAAACCTTGAGGGGAAGCCCAAAGAGCGCAATATCTGCTAGCAGTGAGCTTGGGCTATTACAAATGATATCAGAGCCAGTCACCGGTGGTGTGCCAGCGAGGACGTTGGGTCTCTAAGAGGGGTGGATTGTGAGATCCCATATTGGTAGAAGAGGGGAACTACACATTCCTTATAAGGGTGTGAAAACTTCTCCCTAGTAGACGCATTTTAAAACTTTGAGGGGAAGCCGAAAGAAAGCCATATCTATTAGTGGTGGACTTGAGATGTTACAAAGACGGTGAACAGAAACATTTGAGAAGGACAAGATATTGAACATAATTACATGCCACTGATCTTGAGGAAATTCATATATATATATACTACATTTTATAGTAACAATCCTCAAAAGACTCTGAAATTCCTCAAAAAACTGACTAAATTTCTTTTCGAACATATGATGTTGAAAAAATATGACAACCCTAATGGCATAAACAAAACATAGGAACAATGGCATGCAAATAGAGGAGGAGGAGAAGGGAGAGGATTCTAACCACATAAACAAAACCTACCTCATTTTAATGGAAGTAATCCTCAATCCAATCTTAACTCTATTATGCATGTGGCAACAAACCCGAAAGCCTAAAGCAAGGAAAACTAACAGTAAGAATCAGAATACTTGCTCAAAAAAATGGGCTCCATAGTTACTAAAACCACACTGTCCTAGAATCCCAGCTACAACGCCTATCTTTGAAATAATTCTCTTCCAAGCAAGCTATACAAGTGCATTTCAGTACAAACTGAGAATCAAATGACAGTGCTATGTCATAACATCACCTTTGCAGTGACTTCCAGCGACTTGCGATAAAGCTCGTTACTAGGATCCTGAGGAAAAAAATCCCAACCATTTAGAAGAAACAAAAGTTACAGAATTACAAAACTTGGATTACTTCAATAAAATCTGCATTTATCACCTCATCTACTGCCTTCTGGAAACAATCACGAGCTTTATCAAAATAGACATTGGCCTCATTTGGGTCGGGAGTCAGAAATGCATGTGAAGTGTGGGCATTTCCAAGACACCAAAGAGCATCATGCTTCGTGGGATTAATAGCCAAAGCCTCCTCCAGCTTTAGAACAGCGTCTGCACGATCAGATTCAGTTTGTTTTCATCCGTACATTTTAGTTCATCATGGCATAATACAGCCAACTCAGATTCTTAAACAAGTAGAAGGGCAATAAACGTACCTCTGATCATATCCTTCGAATCAGAAACATTCTGGAATTGAGATAACTCAAGCAACGCCCCGCCCCACTTGGTCAAATTCTGAAAAATGCATGAATAGAACGATATGACGAGACAATAAACTACAGTTTTAAATAGCTTAAATTGAATGGCAACATGAATTTCCTAGTGATATCCACCCCCTTCCCCCAGAACAGCAATTCAGCTAAAAGACCAAGGATACAAAAACGAAAAAACAAGACAGAAACTGGCGAAAATCGATGTCAAGTTCAGTGGAGAGTAAGATCAGATGAAGATATAATAAGAAACATGAAATCAAGTAATAGGAAGGAAGAAAGAGATACATCAGCATCAAGGGGGTTGGTGGCGTAGTTAGCTTCGGCGGCTTTTCTAGCGTGCTCGGAGAGAAGAAGGTGATCAAAATCCTCCTGAGAAAACTCCATGGTTGACGAAGGGAGAAACGAGAGTAAACGAGGGATTCAGAGAAAGAGCACCCGTCCCCCAATGTTTTTCTCCGACTCCAATTCTAGTGGCAATGGGTTCAATCTTCAACTACACAGTAGGGTTCAATCTCCATCCCAGAGGGCTTTGATTTGAGCCAAATTTTGGCCCATTTTGTTAGCCCGAATTGAAAATTCGCGGTATTTTAAGAAAATGGGATAAATTAATAAAAATATTTGCACTTTGTTCTAATTTTTTTTCTTTAAATTTCTAACTTTAAATAAAAAATTCAAAAGTATTCTCTCAAATTATTTAGTTTTGGAAGAAAACTAGAGTTTTAAAAAATTTCATTAATAATCTTAAATTTATTTTAAATAAATTTAAAAGTTAATCTCTGTTGTCCATATACTACCCTCGGAAAATAAATTTTGAACATCTTTTACAAAAGTAAAGAATTTTAATAATACTTTTAAAATTATATATATATTTTAAACATATTATTAACGATAATAATACTTTTGAAATAAAGTATAAAATATAGAGATAATTTTATTAATTTAGCCATATTTGGCTCTTATTATGTTGTAATTGCATTCAGCTTCATTTTTCATTTTTAGTTTTAGATTGCCGAGGTTTCATTCATTTTTATATTACATTTTGCCGAGGAAGAAAATGCTAGTAGGAGTATATCAATTTAATAAGGTTAATGAAGATCAAAGCAAAAAACATATTACAAGCAATATACAGTAAAAAATTTCAAATGAAAAGTATTCCCACAAATAATGTTTATCGGTTATCAATTATATTAATACAAACGTAGGACAACATAAACAACGAAATAAAAATGACCATTTTTTACTTTCATTAAGAATCAATTAATTCAAACATGTCAATTAAGCGTCGTTCGACTAATATAAAATGTATACCATACCAAAAGATTAGAGATTTGAATCATTCACATAATAACAATAATAATAAATACAAATAGCATTATTTTTCGATTGAAAATGACTTTTAACTCAATCCTAAAACTAGTAAACAATGACCACGCATGTATATATACATATATATCTACATATATGTGTGTGCATATATGTGTGTATATATGTATGTAAATATATGTGTATATATATAGACTAAAATTAATTTGAAAACATGGATCATCAGTTTCGTAAATGAAAGCACAAGAAACAAAAGCAAAGAAGTTGATAAGAGAAGTTGACAGTTGCAGCTGCAAGCAATTGAACAAATCGAAAGACATAGTACACCATCAAAGTAGCCAAATCAAGAGTTACAACAGACCAACTATTCGGTAAAACAGAGTTATCATTGTGTTTCAGTGTCCAGTGTACTAAATAAAACTCAAACAGCTACCTTTTTACCTGCATTATACAACAAAACACTCACCAATCAGGATTTTGTTGACAGCGTATGAAGTTTACACAATGCATCATCATCCTCAGCAACCCGAAAATGGAACTTGACTTGGATTCTCCAGCAGAAGCAATCTAATTTTATAAGAAAAAGTCCAAACCAATTCCATATATAGTGTAGAATAAGTGGTTTTAGCTGGTTTAGTAAGGGTAAGGGGATGAAGGAGATACTCTTTTAGCGGCTTGCAATCTTCTTGTGTATGTCAGATGGCTGTTGATGCAAGGAAAGTTCGGATGCGCTGCAGCAGTTCGGCTTTCACAGAATCTGGAACTGAAGCTGCAAGACATCATTCGAACAAGAGTCAGAATCGATTTTGGTAAGAACCATCAATAAGATAAGACGATAATTAAACGTACACATATCCAAACCCAACTCTGCAATCAGTGTGCACTAGGGAGCAAGACAAGTAATGTTATGGTGAGAATCTTTTAACATGATGTCCATTTTTCTATACAAATCTGTGTGTGTTTTGGACCAGCTTGCACATACCTCAACTATTCCCACAGACAAAACTATCATGATATGCGAGGTTTAATTGGCAGATGGTTATGAAAGTCATCTTTATTATGGTCCTTTAGGTGCAGCTTCAAGATGCCTAACGGTTGCAAAATTATGGATTCAGTGCTAAAACTGATGGGGGCGTCCCTCATGACAACCAGTGAAAACCCCTAGGTGACTTGAATTCATTATCTTCCATGTTAAGCCGGTTCTTTGGAACAGTGTGAAAATCAAGCTTAGGTAGGAGTTGTGGAGGATTTCTTCTAGATTCTTACCGACTCGTTTCAGAATATCCCTTGATAACAAAACACAAATGCACACTTTGTGTCTACTTTCTATCAACCAAGCCTAACTCGTCAGTTATATAAAAGACCTGCAATATTGTTTTTGAATTATTTTTTTTTGAAACTTTTTTTAGTGGATGTTTTTTTATCAATCATTCTCCAAGACCTAAGACCGGATTCGATTCCTTGTAATTTGATTAGATTTGAAGGAATTCTTCCAACGTAAAGGCTTTCCTACTGTTGTTGGTTTTTTCATGAGATTGAAAGCTATGATCTCATATATTGATTCAGAAGGCCTACTCATATTTGATAACAACAATTTAGTGTACTTCAAGATATGGGGTAATACGTAATAGTTGTTGAGGAATGTTGCGAGCACATGGATCTTAAAGGGACAGGTCATGCAGATGAAGTTTGTTTGTTGAACCTCATCTTGGGCCATGAAAGGACTAAAACATGGAGCCTTTCTAGAATACATAAATATGGAGTTTTCTTCCATCATATGTAATGATTTTTAGATGATGTGTCAGGTCAAGGATCCTTTCGGCAGGGGAAAGAGATCAACCACACACTAATTCACAGTATCTAAATCACTAGTAGTTAGCAGCAAGCTATCATATTTTATTTACGAAAGTATACAACTACAAAATAACCATTATACAGTTGAGTGTAGATACAAGTTCAACTAAAGTCGAGAATTCTTGCACAAATCAGCATAAAAGCATAAATAGGATCCCAATCTTTTACCATATAAAAAACAAAAAGACAATAACATCAAGAGTGAGCACCATGATCGCCAAAAGAGTCGTGTTCTCACAATTTTCATGATTTCACAAGCTCGATATGACAATATGCATATAGAGTAACACACATTTTAGACCATAAAATAAAAGAAGCACCAGATATTAAAACCCAATGATAATTTCGGATTTATAGATCATGTATAGCATAAGGAGTATAATGAAGTATTGATCTCAATTCTATATAAAGGGGAGAACAAGATGTACTAAAACCCCAACTTCCAGAATAAGCAACTTATTGCTATTGGTCCAAGAAGCTGATAATGAAATACAAACAGGTGGGAGGAGTTATTGCAATGCCAGATGCCTAGAACTGTTTGCTGCATTATGTCGTTACTGAAGTTCTTAGATTAAAAAATCATTCAATCTTTTAATTTCAGGTCGAATGATAGAAATTTGTTGGGAGATTTATGATAAATGCAACCAATAGCAACCGCTTCTAGAATGGTAAGTGATAACAAACCTCTGCCTTTAGGAGTAATGACCTGCACAAGGTCATCAACACTAACATTGTTCCTTCCTTTCTTCCTTACATACGCCCTGGAGAAACAATAGGGAGATTAAAGTCTTAGCCTCGGAACTGAAAGAATTAATATGGGCATATAGCACAGCTCCAGTTGCCGTTTGAATTAATTTCAAAGCTATCTTTACACGTAAAGCCATGCACTCCAGCTTTGTAGGAAGTAATTTCCAATATCACCATCTCGACTGAACAAGAATACACATACTAGTGATTTTTCTTTCAACAACTTCTCGTTAATTAACGACTAATACCTAAACCTAATTTGTAGACTGGCAATGAAACAACGGAACAGGAATGAACGCAGATTTCAAGAAATTTTTTGAAACAATAAATCGATAGATGAAATGAATGAATACAAAAGAGAGTAGGTAGAGGAAACCTGCAAAGTGCTTTCATCTCATCTTTCCAGCCGCATTCGATGAGCCTTTCTCTCAAAAGCTCTTTTAACCGTTCCTTTTCGCCACTTTCAATCAGCTACGCACAACGAAACGATGAAATTGAGTCAAAATCCAACAGAAAACAAACGAGCCGAATAAACTTCAGACCTTGATATTGATTGTTTCTTGAAAAGTAGGCTGCTGTTCTCGATCATCCTCCGGTTCGGGCGTCGGAGGCCGATTAATGGAAGTCCTCCTGTCGCGCCACAAATTAGGGCATCGCAATTATAGCCATAGAGTGAAGCTTCAACAATTAGGCCCATGGATGCGAAAATTTCAATTTCCAAAAGTGACGATCTGATGAAAGACGACATGAAATCTGACTTATGATACACTTACATTTTATTGGTAGGATTGTGACAAGAGATTCTTGAAAAGTTTCACTTTCACGGCGACAGAGCCCGTCCAACGACTCAAGCGACTCGCCAGCTGACTGGAGACGACGAGGACCGGCGAGTCTATTAATCTTATCTATTTATATATTTATAGTTTTTTAGACTAAATTGTAAACGAAACATTAAAAAATTATTGCAACTAAAAAAATAAAAAGGGACCTTATTTCAACAATAAATAAAATTTATGGGTATTTTTCGTAACATAATAAATTAATAAACTATAAAAAAAAACGTATACTATTAATAATAATAGTAATAATAAATATAAATTATAATATTATTTAGTTGTAAAATATATGATTCTATCTATTAAAAGAAAAACTAATTTTAAGCTTTTTTTTAAATAATTATCAGAGTTAATTTATATTTTGAACCCAAACCTATAATATCCCGCCGGGAAAATACCTCTGAAGGATCCTTAAATGCCGAAAGAGCCCCTGTAACTTTGCGAAAAAAACCCACCCACACTACGCAAACCAAACAGTATAGTTCAGGGTTATTATCGTCATGTTAAAGTTTCGAGACACATCATTCCCGCCATCGAATTTTTGCAGGTCATACAGATTCCGGGAATGGCGGTAAGAGAAATCCGGTGGGGCTGTCCGTCCGGGATTTCCGATTGGACGAGTGAAGATGATGATGAAAATCGACAAGGATATTGGTAAAGTGAATTCAGAAGCCCTGCTTATAGTCTCATGCGCCACCGAGGTCTTCCTCAAGCTTCTTGCTGAAAAATCTGCAGATGTCGCCGCTGAGAAGAAACGGAAGATCGTGAAGCTTGAACACATCGGAATCATCGTCAAGAGGCATCGGCTGATGAGTGATTTTCTCCTCGATTCGCTTCCTCTTACATCTCAGCCGTAGGATGCTCCGGCGAAGGATGAGAATCGCACTTGCACTGTCGTCGGTAAACCGCTTCCTGAAAGAACCCGTCGAATCGATGATTTCTTTCGCCGGCTAGCAAAGACAACGTCGGCGGAGACCAACGAGTCATAGGCGATCAGTCTTCATCAGATAAAAGGTATTGTTTAATTTTTTTTTGCGTTTGTTTGCTATCAAGTCCATATTTTACGATTACACGAGAAAACTTGTTTGTTTCTGAACATCAGACAATTTTAAGTTATCCATTTGAAGAAATTGTCATCTAAATATCTCAAAAGAAGGACAAAAACCAAAAGAGTGAACTGAATAGATGCAATTAAGATGAAATTTGATACAATGTAGACAATCAAAATGATGGGTGGTTGATTTTCACTCTCTATTTATAAACATTATCTGGGAAATCGAGATGGGATCTGTACAGGAAAGATTAATTGGAATAAAATGGAAATTCAAAGATAGAATAAATACTCGAGTATCTTCTCTATCCTCTGTTAAGACATAAGCTTATTTGAAGGCTACAACGGTTCTCTCAAACTTTATTCTGTGGGATTATCTTTATGAATGACATTTGAGCTTGAAGTCGTGTAGCGAACTCTAAGGAGATATGGGGCCAGAAAATGTGGATACCACTGAAGCTGTTTCATCTCTGATCTGAGAAACAAGGTTGTGCCGAAGAGGCGTATGCTGTTCAGGTGAGGTTTTCCCTTCCTTCATGAAAGAGGTGCCTACATTTGCTGAATTTGTGCTGTTTGATCCCAATTGCTGGATTCCTAGAGAAAGCCTTCTGTTCAAAGTTATGGCATTGCTATAACCTCCATTAATGCTAGCATTTGAAAGACGCCGACTGCTGGTGCTTGGTCTTGATCCATAGATGTTTTCTGGCTCGATTGCTACCTGGGTTTGAAATTTTTTTTTCTCCTGCTAGAAAAATTATCATTAACCGTCTAAAGACCATTGCTTAAGCTTTTTGCTGCTGAGTAGTTCAAATTATGTGATGGGGTTATGGGGAAAGAAGAGATACTCTTTCAGCATGTTAATGATCCATATTTAAAAGTCCGCAGCAGGGTTACATTGTACTTACTCTTAGTCTCATCTTCTCTTCCTCTTTTTCCTGTCTCAGGGCATTATATTCCTCCAGCATTGCTAGCAAAGGCACCTGAAAATAGGACACATGTCTTCACGAAAGTAGCGGATAATTTGGTGTTTTTAGGAAGGAGGGAGATGCAAAGAAGAACTGGGTTCCTTTTTATATGCATATTTTATGGAGAAGGCAAGGATGATCTAATGGCTCACGCCCACCGCTAGCCAATACTGTCCTCTTTGGGGTTTTCTTTCCGGGCTTCTTCAAGGTTTTTAAAATGTGTTTATTAGGAAGAGATTTTTACACCCTTTTAAAGAATGTTTCATTTCTTCTCTCCAACAGATGTGAGATCTCACAATATTGAGGGTTGCATATCGATTGGAGAGAGGAACGAGTGCCAACGAGAATGCTGAGTCCCGAAGGGGGTAGATTGTGAGACCCTATATCGGTTGGAGAGGAGAATGAAACATTCTTTACAAGGGTGTGAAAACCTCTCCCTAGCAGACGAGTTTTAAAAACCTTGAGAGGAAGCCCGAAAGGGAAAATCCAAAGAGGACAATATTTGATAGTTTTTTAGTTGCATGCTTTTAGAATATCATTCACGAAACTTATAATCATGTTCTCAAATGATGATTAACACGTGACAAGAACAGCATTGTTGAAAGGCATTATATAGCTTACCTCATCATACAAGAACACTTTACTTCTTTCTGCCTCCCAGCTCTTAGTCTTAGCCAAGAGCAATTCCACCAAAGCTGCAGTTTACATAATTTTCAAGAGGAGAAAGATAATGGTCATATGAAATCCTATTTATATGTTCAAATTTCAAGAAGCTCACATCTCTTTGGCTTGGAAAGACATTGTACCGAAAGATGGTCTGGCCAATTTAACACAGCCCATCTTTAAGGCCTTCCTTGCAGTTCATGGAAATTATTGCTGATATTACCTGGAATTTTGTTGACTGTTATTCTTGCTCGTTCTGCACGTCTGAGATTCTTGTGAGCACCTCTGCTGACTGAGTATCGGCTTTGGTCCTGAAAGCTCAATAATTACTACTTATGACTAAGATTTCAGTCAAGTAATTGTCTTTTATAGCTTGCAGGAAAATACCAACCATGCTGTATTCTTCCAACCACCGCTCTTCATCACATGCTAACATCCATTTCTCAACTTTCTCCATTATAGTCTTCCGGCTAGATGCTTCTTCTTTTGCTCTTAATATTTGTTCATCCATGCTTGTTAGGAGATTGACATGATCAATTTCCCCTTTGGCAGTACATAGAAGTTAGTATTTGGATAATAGATTTGCATAAAGTATATGATATTCCCTATCATTGATGTCATTACGCACTGTACCAGAATTTATAAGATTTATGATCTTTTCCATTTCTAATCTTGAAGGTATCTCCATGTGCGATTTGTTGCATATATCTTCCAGCTCTTTCTGTTTCTTGATAAATAGCTCTTTCATCATGCTTGCTTTCAGTTGATCAAGTCTCTTGACTTCAGCCTCAGCCTTGAAATATTTTTTTTTTTCACATAATTAGCACCTAATTCATTAAATCTTCTATTTACACGTCTGTAGTACCTGCTCGATTATATATAACGCAAGGCTCCCAGGATCAGATATTTCAGGTGATGAAACTGATAATAGTCGAATTACATGGGAAAATAGTCGGCGATCGCCATAAGGTGAATCCATAAGATCCCACAAGTTTGTCAATGCTTTCCCTAGACTGTGAAGCTGCAGAAAACATTGCAGAAATTTATCAAATAATGTTTTGTTTTACAGTATTGGAGCAGTTGGCATTTGAAGATTCAAATTATCAGTTTAAATGTAGGTATGCTATAACTCCTGGTTTTGATGACTTTTATTATTTTGATACAACAATCAGATTTTGCTAGTAGGTACTGTTCTCGTGAGGCGGTTTTCCCTTATGGGCTTTCCCTCAAGGTTTTAAAACTCGTTTACTAAGTAGAGGTTTCCATACTCTTATAAGAAATGTTTTGTTCCCCTCTCCAACTGACGTGAGATCTCACCGTCTTTGTTTTTGGGATGTAGCATAAATATGTTGTTTGGCTAGTATAAGTTTCATCACCTTTTCAAGCCGTTGCTGCTTTTCTTCTTTAAGAGACTCCACCGTACGTTTAAGCTTTTCTAAAATGGAGTCGCTGATGTTTTTTGATCTTCCAAATGGCTCGTCCAAGCTTGGGTGAATCTTGGTGATGATCGTGGAAGCATCTATCCCCAATGTTGCAGACAGTTTATGGACTGTGTCTATATATTTCTCCACTCTCTGAAGCCTTTCATTCTGTCAAAGAAAATCGAAAAGAATTGGTATGTAAACGAACTTAGAAGTTGAAAATATTAAGTAGATCTTAATTCTATGGCTCAAATTTGCACCTTTTCACTGTGAAGTCTCTGTAACTCATTCTGATATTCCTCAAGTTTCTTCAGAGAAAGATCATTCTCATTCACTATGACAATAGGAGTGGAATCATCATTTTCATTCACTATTTCTGCAGAAATTTTCAGGATTTGTCCTTGTACGTCTCTGAACTGTTTCATCCTTTCCTCTTTTCTCAGCCGCATCTCCCTTAGAGCTGGAGTTATGGAATCAAGCTGCTCTTTCAAAGTTCCCGCCATCTTTTCTGGCTGATCAGACACGTCCAATCAACATATACTATTGGGTGAGAACTTCGGTCATATCATATCATATTACATATAAAAATGATTGATGTTATGATTATATCATGATAGCTGAGCATTAAGTTTTGATTTGAACAGATGGAACAAGTTTGGACGATAATCATTGCGTACCCGTCCAGGAAGAGAACATTCTCCAAGGGACAACAGAAGATGCGTAAACTCAGCCTCGGCTTCTGCAAGTTCTTGATGAAGTCGAGATCTCGACACGTTTGCGCCATCAACTTTTTTCCGGTAAACTTCTAGACATTCCTGTTCTAAATCCAGAAGAACTTTCTCTCTGTCAAACTGATCTTCTCCCACTTCGTCCCAAATCATCTGTTATCATTAGTTTACTTAAAGAAAGAAACAAATAAAGAAAGAAAGAAAAGACAAATTCAACGTCCATGCCTGCAACTCCTTAAGTAGATATCCACATGAGGTTTCAAGCATAGTGGAACTTCGCATTCCAATTGGGGTTTGAAATGAAGCCATCCTTTCTTGGAAACTTTGGATTGGATTAGATTGGATTGTTTTCCTGAACCTCAAGCCTGCAAAGTTTGAGCTAATCAACTGAAAGTGCAGGAAAAGCTGGAAGTGGGTTGGAGAAAGAGAAAGTGAGGGAGGTGGGTTTTAGTTTTTGCTTAAACGACAAGCGTAGGGTGTCTGTGACAGAGGGTGGGTATTATGCGTTTTGTGTATGCTTTAGTTTGAAGTATTGTGAGACCCCACGTCAAATCTTGACACCTAGAGAGAAGAACGAAACATTTTTTTATAAAGGTGTAGAAATCTCTCTCTAGCAGATGTATTTTAAAAAAATTGTAGAGAAACTCGAAAAGAAAAGCTCAAAGAGAATAATATCTATTAGCGGTGGGCTTGTGCCATTATGTTTATCATCTTACCTCTTGGGCTTTATCCTTACCTTCCTCTTTCCTTTCTCCCTCCATATCATTTCTTCTTCCATTTTATTAACCATTAAGACAGCAAGTCTCCGTCTACCTCCATTAATAAGATGGTCTCTCTTATTCCAAGTCCTTCTCACTCCTACACCTCTTTACACTCTCTCCTCCTTTAGCACCTCCCAAAAAAAAAAAAAAAAAAA